ATTGTTATTATTATTTCCACAGACTGTAGCCAAAAGTTTTTAGAGAAAAGACTTTTTAAAAAATCTTCCTCCCCACCCCACACCCTGCCCAATTGTAGCTGACACTTTAAGCTCTGACTACCCAAGCTGCTTTGAGCAAAAACTTTGGCAAAGTAGCTAATGTTTCATAATCAATTTTGGGGGATTTGAACTAAATAAAAGAGTTCCTGATACCATTCTGTGAAGTTCATTAAACAATTTTTATCAGTGAACATATAAGGTTCGTGTGTATCAACTCCTTCACTAGAAACTGCAGATAATCAAACTTAATTATTTTATAAATCAGGGAAATGAAAATCCTTGAGTTCTAACCTTTTCCATAGCCAAAAGCAAACATTAAGACCCTGAATACTTGATAGTCATTCCCTGGAGTATGAATATTGGATCTCCATGGCAAGTGTAAACTTCATATTTGTGAATTACTCCAGGATGTTAGTAAATTACTGTAAAGATACAGACAACTAAAGGAAGTTTAGTGTATTACCTTATCCAGGACATTTTAAGAAAACATTATGATTATAGAATTAAAATACATCCATGTTCATGGTTTGGAAGACGTGGTGTTATAAAGATGGCAATACTACCCAAAGCAATTAAAGATTCAGTACAATCTCTACCAAAATTCCAATGGCCATTTTTGCAGAAATGAAAAAGCTGATCCTAAAATTCATGTGGAATTGCAAGGAACCCTGAGAATTAAAACAATTTTGAAAAAGAAAAAGTTGGCATACTCATGCTTCCCAATTTCAAAAATCACTGCAAAGCTATAATAATGAAAATAGTGTTGTGCTGATATAAGAGTAAACATATGGATCAGTGGAATAAAATTGAGAGTCCAGAAATAAACCCATATGTCTAAATCAATTGATTTTTGAGAAGGGTGCCAAGACCACTCAATGGGGGAAGGGTAATCTCTTCAACAAATAGTGCAGGGACAACTTGATATCTGCATACAAAAGAATGAAGTTGGACCTCACACTACATACTAAAATTAACTCAAAATGGATCAAAAACCTAATTATAAGAGCTAAAACTATAAAACTCTTGGAAGAAAACGTAAGGGTAAATCTTCATGGCCTTGGATTTGATAATGGATTTTTAGAAATTATACCAAAAGCACAAGCACCAAAAGAAAACTATGGATTAATTGGAGTACATCAAAGTTTAAAATTTTGCATCAAAGGACACTATCAAGTTAGTGGGAAGATAACTTACAGAATGGGAAGAAATATTTACAAATCTGATAAGGGTCTAATGTTCCTGATATATAAAAAACTAACAAAAAACTCAATTAAAATATGGGCAAAGGACTTGAATAGATAGTCTCTAAAGAAGATATAGAAATGGCCAACAAACATGTGAAAAGATATTCAGCTTCATTGGTCATTAAGGAAATGCCAGTCAAAGCCATTTCACATGTACTATGATGGCTATAATTTAAAAACAAAACAAAAAAAGAAAATTACAAGCATTGGTGAGGATATAGAGAAGTTGGAACAAGTCAGAACCTTGTACTTTCCTGGTGGAAATATAAAATGGTGGAGCCACTGTAGCAAACAGTTTGGTAGTTTCTCAAAAACGCAATATATAATTACCATATGACCCGGCAATTCCACTCCTAGATAGACACCCACAACAATTAAAAGCAGGTATTCAAAAAAATACTTGTTCACTAGCATTCATAGCAACACTATTCACAATAAGCCAAAAGGTGGAATGTCCATCACTGGAGGAAAGGATGAACAAACTGTGGCATATCTATACAGAGGAATATTTTTCAGCTGTAAACAGGAACAGAGTACTGATGTATGGTACAGTGTAGATGAACTTTGAAACTTTATGCTAAGTGAAAGAAGGCATACGCAAAAGGTCACATTTTTTATTGCATTTATGTGAAATGTACAGAAGAAGAAAATCCATAGAGACATAAAGCATATTAGCGGTTGTCAGGAGCTGGAGGAGGGGGAGTAGGAGTGACTGCTTAATGAGTACAGGGTTCATTTTGGGGTGATGAAAATATTTTGGAAGTAGGTTGAGGTAATAATTGCACAACACTGTGAATGTACTAAATGCCACTGGATTGTACATTTAAAAATGGTTAATATTATTGTATGTGAATTTTACCTCAATTTTAAAAATTACATCATACAGTTTCTGTGATCTCACAAATAATTGTGGCTTTGCTGTCATAGTTACCTTGTGACTGTTGGAACCCATGTGCTTTGTAGCATTAGTACATTGGGAAGTTCTTTTCAGCTGTGGGCAGGAAAACCTGAAGACAGATGATCCTAAAGTGGGTTTCTCCCGAAAATAACAATTAAGGAATGTAGTTTCATTTTAAATTTTTATTTGTTGAAGCTGGTAAAACTTCTACTTGAATGGGCCCTGGGTTGTTTTAAAATGCAATCTGGTCTGATATTGGTTGTTTTCTTCATTTAATTTGAAAACATGTTTAAAATAACTTTATATTATTTGAAGATGGAATAATTTTTGATTTTATGAAAATTTAACTTTTAAAGAATCTAAGAAATATTCGTAAAATTGCAGTCAGATTTTTCTGATGGCTTTTTTGGCTGCACTGCTAGAGATTTTTGTGATACTTGCTAAAATCATTGCAAATTTTTTTTATTGTCAGGAATTGGTATCAGGAATAAGAAAATTCTGTTTTCAGATCAAGCAGAGCTTCTGCAAAATCTGAAAACATTAATTTCTTATTTTCATGTCATATCTATTTTATTTTTTGAAGGAGGAGCTTTAGGTTATATTCTGGCAAAAGATCTGAGATTGAAAAGAGCTTCTTACTCAGAAAGGTAGAAGTGCTTTGGCAATGATCATGATGTTTTTCTTTATGAACAAGACTGATACTTCTAGCCCAGTTCATGCTGTGTTTTACGTGACTTGTTTCTCCAGCAGATATTTTTTTGCTCATTGTCTTGCTTGTTGTCCCACCTGGCCCCCCTTATGACCCAATATGTGCCATTCAGGCTAAAAACTGTAGATATGAAGCAAACAAAACTAACTGGTCTATAGTGGATCGAACCCACAGCTTTTGACATCATCAGCACCATGTCCTAATCAACTCAACTAATGCCTTGCTTGAGCAAGGACTTTGCAATTTTAAAGTTAGAAGGGATCTGGTGGCCGGGCGCGGTGGCTCACGTCTGTAATCCTAGCACTCTGGGAGGCCGAGGCGGTGGATCGCTCAAGGTCAGGAGTTCGAGACCAGCCTGAGCAAGAGCGAGACCCCCGTCTCTACTAAAAAAAAAAATAGAAAGAAATGATCTGGACAATTAAAAATATATATATAAAAAATTAGCCGGGCATGGTGGTACATGCCTGTAGTCCCAGCTACTTGTGAGACTGAGGCAGAAGGATTGCTTGAGCCCAGGAGTTTGAGGTTGCTGTGAGCTAGGCTGACGCCACGGCACTCTAGCCTGGGCAACAGAGCAAGACTCTGTCTCAAAAAAAAAAAAAAGGGATCTGGTAAGCATAGTAAACTATCTGGAATAAATGTAATAAGCTGAAGTGGGTGAATATAAGTGTTCAGCTTAAAATAATTATTACTTCTGACTTCCACAAAATTAGGAGGATTTCTTTTATGTGATGTTCATAGGATAATATTTTTAAGAAAAGGTCAGTTTTTAAGTTTTTCAATGAATTATTAGGAAAAATTTTTAACAAGATCTAAATTAACTCTTGTTAATTTAATTTTAACTAGACATTGAGCTACTTTCACTAGACATACCAGGACAGCAGTAGAAGAAAGTGAAAAAGGTGGATGAGTCTAAAGCTTACAGCACAATTATATTTGCCTGCGGCCCCATCCCTATGAAAAGCAGCACGGTGTATTTCCTTAGGTAATGTACTTAACGGGTCTCTTCATCTAGGTGATTACAATAATAGAATCAACCTCATAGGTTCATCATAAGGATTGAATTAGTTAATGTACTTGAAGCTCTTAGAACAGTGCTTAGCACAGTGTAAACGACACATGTATATGTGTATGTTATGTGTATATGTATGTTAAAGACATAAGAATGCTGGCATTAAGATAACTAGGAGCTACTTTGATGAGGGATTCTTTTTTTGAGGGGCAAACCTGTTTACATTTACGGATGCTCATCGTCGTGACCCTCTCTAGTGTATCGATGCCTGGATGCCTGTTGGAAGTTCTGCGACTCTCTGGTATAATACTCACCTGGGACCATTTTACCACTAATAGGCCTCTCAACAAAAGAGAATTCTTTGAGAAAGAAATAAAGAACTCAAGAGCAGTGATTTTTCCACTGTTTCCCAAGTAGTTTTAAGATCCCATGAAGCATCTCTGGTGATTTGTTGAGAACATAGTTACTGTCTCATTCATTCACCAAGAGTTACTGTTTGCCCGCCATTGGCACTGTACAGAATGGGACGAAATAGGGATAACAAAGACAGAGATGAAGAAAACATAGTTCCTTGGCCTGGAACTCACAATCTGAATCATTTTTGTACCTCTAGAATCCATACCAGGAAAACCCCAGGGCTTTGAATGGAAGAGCATCAGAAAATAGCATGTCCTTAAGGGTGTGCATCCTTGAAGTTGTAAGGCCACACATCAGTTAATATTATTATTTTTGCCAAGCCATTTCAAACTTAGCTAGGATAGGGGGATGGAAACTCATTGGTGGAAAGTGTTAAAATTATAGATTTTAATGAATCATCTGTTATCAGAGACAATTGAGTTTGCTTTACTTACATTTATATTTTCTAGTTTCTACTATTAATAGCATTTTTTAATAGTTTTAAATTGCTAGTTTGTTATTTTGATGACCTATTTCTACCCTTCTTATCCCCCTGGTTTTTCTGTTTATATATAGTTCTGGTGAAAACAAATTAGGAAGGGAGATTGAGATTGGATAACTCAGCTTCCTAGCATATGTTTTCTCTTCTCTCAAAGTGTTGATGTGTTGCTTTTTTTATAGGACTGAATTGCAACTGCAGAAGCAACAAGTGACCCTTTTAAGATGCTTATGGGGCTGCACAGAAGGAAGAGGGAAACTGGAGAAAATAATGAAGTAAGGAAAAAGTAAAGCCAAATAGTGTGCTTCTGAATATTACCAAGTTTCTTGCAACATCAATTACCAAAACTTTGTCATGTCTAAGTCTTTATGGCCATTTTTAGTCTTTGTATTGCTGTTAAACATTATTTTCTCTTCCTTTGGTTTTTATTGCTGAACTCTTTGATCAAATGATTCTTTTTTGGATTAATCAAAGTTTGTATTGAATCTACATCTTAGGTGATTTCTTAGATCATTTGATAGGGATCTGTTATAACTTAGGGTGACCATTGGGTGTCATGAAAGTAGAGTAGCATGTTATGTCTCTGTAATATGCCGATTGAGTCAAAGTGTTAGCTTTTAGTCTGAACATAAAACTTACATTTGTGCTTTATTAAGCAACTGACTTGAAAAACTAGAAAACTAGTTTGAATACCACTTATCCAAGCCATATTCTCTGGCTACAGTATGTGTGGCACTGCACACATCTCTGGAATAGGAATTTTTTTAAATGCTAAACAATACAGAAGACAAACCAAACTAGCAAATAATCAATGTAAATGGTCATAGCCTTCATTTGATGAAATAGGCATGCCCTAGTAAGCTTTTTAAAGAAAGCAAATCTTTTACACTATTTTCCATTATTTATTTAAGAACCTTTCTCCAATATGCTGAATAGAAATTTTTGTAAAGAGAGAAGGAAACGAAGGCAGAGTTATCCATGACATATGATGCTAGAAGTTCTGTACCACAACATCCTTAGACAACTCCACGGCAACATGACTCCTTCTCCACAAGCCTGGGGACCACCAGCCCATGGGAATTTCCCCAAAATTGTAACTGCTGGGACTTTCTGCCTTATGATGGGAGTCATCCTTGTGCTTTAGTAATGGATTGCAGCAGGGCTATTCTTGGATACATGATATATTCCAGCTTGATCATTCTTTGACTTAGAGTCTTAAAGTTGAGTAAAACTAGTTATTGGCTTTATTAATTATTTTTTTATAGACAGGGTCTTGCTCTGTCACCCAAGCTGGAGTTCAGTGGCACGATCATAGCTCATTGTAACCTTAAACTCCTGCCCCCAGGTGATCCTCCTGCCTCAGCCTCCTGAGTAGCTGGGACTACAGATGTGTGCTGCTATGCCCAGCTAACTTTTCTATTTTTTCGTAGAGACAAGGTCTTGCTGTGTTGCCCAGGCTTAAGTGATCCTCCTGCCTCAGCCTCCCAAATTGCTGGGATTACAGGCATGAGCCATCACGCCTAGCCATGGCTGTATGTATCAATTCTTTAAACTAAAAATGTCATAAGACAAGTTTCTTGTGCACACATTTTCTAGTGCTCACCCTCACACTGACTCTGCTTCATCACCTTGCTCTCCTGGCTGTGCTTCAGTCAACCCAGAAATGTTCCTGCTTCAGGCCCATTGTCCTTATTCCCTCTGCCTAGAACCTTCTTCTCCCAGATAGCCACGTGGCTCCTGCCTTCCTCTTCCTTCCAGTTTCTTCTCCAAAGTTACCTTCTTAAGGATGCCTTCCAGGGCACTCTCAGTTGAAAAAGGCACTTTACCATATCCTGGAATTACCCTGAGTATTATACATGTACTCGTTTGATTGGCTGTCTCCCGGCCCTCCCTCCACACCCACACACCTTCCCTGCCTGAACTCCCTGAGGACAAGAACTTTCTTCCCAGTCTCTAAAACAGTGCTGGAGAGTAGATGCTCAGTAAGTATTTGTTGAATGAATAAATGAAACATGGTTGTATTAGGAGGATGTAGCAGATTTGGAGATCATGTGATTGGATTGAAAATGATTAACAGGGGGCCAGGCTTGATAGTTCACGCCTATAATCCTAGCACTGTGGGAGGCTGAGGCAGGAGAATAACTTAAGATCAGGAGTTCCAACCAGCCTGAGCCAGAGTGAGACCCCATCTCTGCTAAAAATAGAAAAATGAGCCTGCCATGGCCACGTGTGCCTGTAATCCCAGCTACTCAGGAGGCTGAGGCAGGAGGATCTCTTGAACCTAGGAGTTTGAGGTTGCAGTGAGCTGTGATGACACTACTGCACTCTAGTCCAGGCAACAGAGTTAGTGAGATCCTTTCTCAAAAAAAAAAAAAAAAAAGAAAGAAAGAAAAGAAAATGATTAACAGGGAAAATGTTGTGGAGGAAGTATCTTAAACTACATATTAAAAATCTGATAAACAACAGGGCTTAAAAACCATTGTCAAAAATCTCCCTTTGATCTAGAAGGTGATTTAAGCCACTTCAGGAATATAAGTGTCAGAACAGATATTTGTATTTAAAAACCAGACATAAAATATTACTTAAACAGAAATGTCTAGTAAAAGATTGTAGATGGTAAAAGGTTGGGAGGTAAGCAAAAGAGAGTGGTTCAGATGGGAGGTGACTTGAAAGAGGAATCCCATGGTCAGGGTAGAGGGTGACAGGTGGGCTATAGCAGTGCCTGTGGGGGGTCAGGAAACTGGTAGCATGGGGATATTATCTGTGGTTGCAGTGGGAGGAAGTTAATGGGAAGGGCAAAGCCAAATTGGAGTCACCAGGAATTTTCTTTTGTGTCACTCTCTGCACCTACTACCTGGCAATGCTGAGCCATCTTGTCTAACTCCAGCTTACCTCATTTTTCCTATTCCACTCCTACCTATGAAGTATGATGTTTATTCTACGCGTCATGCTTTTTCCATTTCACCTTTGAGATCTTTTAAAATTAATCTCTCACTTTTAGAGGCACATGCCACTTGATTCATCAATTGCATTTCTAGGAATTTATCTCACATATGACCTTATACAGGTATGCAGGTACTCCTGTATCACCTCAGCCTCTATTAAATCTTCATGCATGCTTCCAACCTCAGTAGAACTTGGACAGAGAATAATTATCTCTCACTGCCATTATTCTGTTGTGGCCATGGGTCCTATCTTTCTCCACTGGCTCCTGTGTTGACTGCCTGCCTCTTTACCTAAACTGCAGTGGACTGGAGACATTTGCACAGGAACTAACTATGTCTCCTCTCAGGTTTTTTCTTTCCAACTTCTGTTTTCTTACAGGAGTCTTTCTTTTCTCCTTTGCAAGTATCATGAATGGTTATACTTTTTGCATTTTATTTTTTAGATATTTAGATAATTAAGTATATAGTAGTGGATATCTCTAATTGGCTTCACATTAAAATGACTTCAGAAGCTTTATAAAGTATTAATGCCTGGTCCCACCCTCAAGATTCTGAGGCAATTTGTATGGGGTGAGGAGTGGGCATCAACATTTAAAAAGCTGCCTGATGATATTCGCTCAAGTTTCGGAAGCAGGAATACTATTGATTTTTCTGTACTGGTGATGACTTTGGTCACTTTAAACTCACCATGACCATTTAAGTGATTCCTTTGAGTTTTGTAAGTATGAAATGGTGTTATACATAAAAATATTTTGTCTCTGCCTTTACTGTATTTGTACCTTTTTTTTTTTTTGTTCCTCTTATTTGTTTTTATGCTGCTTTGTATTGGAAGGAACTTCTGATACTATCTTAATTAACAGTGATGATAAAATGCTTCTTCATTTTGTGCCTATTTTTAATGATTGTGTAGCTTGTTTTTTCCCTTGAAGTATAATATTGACACCTGGTTTTACAAAGATATTCTAATCAGGGTAAGAAAGTATACCTTTATTAGTTTTAGAATTTTTAAATTAAGAATAGGTCTTAGATTTTAACAAATGAATTTCTTGGTATCTGTTAACATGTCACAATTAAGAAATTTAATCTAGTCCTAGATTCTATCTACTATTATTTTCTTTTAAATTTTTGAGGATGAATTTTGAGTGAGCTTTCTCTCTTTGCATTTTCTTTAGCCAGTTTTGGGGTCAGGCTAATACAGTAAACTAGATAACCTATATATTGACCTATTTTAGGCATGATTTCTATAACATGTGAGTTATTTGTTTCTGGAGAGTTTGAAAGGATTCACTAATAAGCCATCAGAGGCTAACTACTTTTTAGGGTTATAGTGATTTGATTTTTTAAAAGATGTTCATCTAGTTAGGTATTTTAATTTTGCCAATGTTAGAATTTTGCGTTTTTAATAGAAAATCCACGTAGTTTTATCCAAATTTATCAACACACGTAATATTCTCTTAAAATTCTCTTTTATTACTTTTTGTGCTCTATTTTTCCAATTTTACATGTTTCCTTTTTTATAATTACATTTACCAGTAGTATCACTGTTAGTCTATTAATAGAAACTTTTAGTTGAAATTTAAAACTTTAAAAAACACAAAAAGACAGAGTGAAAAGTCACTTTCCCATTCACTCCTGTTCCTGGGACAAACAGTTCCCCTCTCATAGGCAGCAACTCCTGTCAGTTTTTTTGAATCCTTTCAAAGTATTTTGGTTTTCACTTTCAAAATATCTAATTTCTTTCTTTTTCAAAAAAGCTCCTCTAAATTCTTTTGTTTCATAAGATTATGAGTTGTCTAGTTTTAATTTTTGTTTTTGATAACACTTAAAGCAATACTTGTCTTTTTTTCATAATCTATAGATTTCTTGTGTAATGATTTTGTTACTTTTTAAATTTCATTATTGTTATGTTAGAGCTTATCTCTTGCAAACAGAATATTGTTAGATTTTGTGTCTGTTCAACTTATCTTTGAAGATTCTATATCTTATATGGGAATTTATACTCTTTAATTTATGGTTGCTATTATATTATGTTTTCTGTATATTGTTTAACTTTTATATTTGTTAACTCTTTTCCATTAAGCCTTCTGTTTTACAGAATATTCTTTGTTTCCTTTTAGCTTTTAAACAAATTTTAAAGGTGAACAGTCTTTTGAATTCTCTTATTGTTAAAAATGACATTTGTTTCTATGTTTATTTACTATCATCAATGTGAAAGCAGAAATTTTCCTTTCTTTCCATGTAAGGAAATGCAGTTTCTCCCTTTTTTGGCATCCTCTCTTCGTATTCCTTATCTGCCCCCATCCCCAGTCATTTTTTCCTTTCACATTTTT